AATATCACGAGTATTAGCAGTGACGCGCACATAAATACAATTTTATAATAGAAAATCCTTGTAACATTTTTGCTTTTGCGAGGGGTCCGGTTTGCTTTTAAATAACAAAGAGATGGATGCATGTTATTTTATTAATTATTAGCGGATTGAAAAAATGTATAAATAATCAATTGTAAAATTAAAAATTCTAATTTAACAAAATTTTCTTTGGTACGATGAAGTTTAAATGTTTTCTTATAGCTTCATAATTAAAAAACTTTACGGTAATATTTACTTTGAATTATAAGCTTCTTTCCAATAAAAAAATGTTATAAAAAAGATCTGGAAATTGACAATATCACCAAATTTTTTTTGTGAAAGTTCGATGTAAAAATAAATTAATAATTACACTTGATTTGCAACAGTTTTTATATTTTTCAAATTTTACTTTCTTAAGATATTGGAAAACAATCAACCTCTTCATTTATTACAAATAAACAAAGAATTTTATAAATTATTTTTATTTTTATTTAAACATAATTCGTTAAATATCAATAAAAAGTATAGTGAATAAAATAATAGTACATTATATACCTAGGGTGAGAAGTGAGCTATTATTTACCGAGCACTTTTATATCCTGAGGCGCTTGAGGGATATAATGTGTGAGGTAAATAATAGCTTTCTCAGCCGAGGTATATATAGAATTTTTTTTACTACTAATATTAATATATTAGCAATTTTAATTTTGACATAAGTAATTTCCTAACAATTTGTTAAATATTTCGAAATATCAAGCAGTGTGGAGCGTGTTTCTAATCAGACTGGCTTTATTTATGTAAAAATTTGGCATGTGTCAAATTTTGATGTGATTCTAGGAAATATTCCATTGCATTTTTGATATTTTAGTGACATTAATTTATTGGTATTAATTAATAATTTTTGAAGCCTATTGCCGGTGTTGAATTTCCTAGTTAATATATTTTTACTATTAACACTGATATATATTATCATATTTGATTTGATTAGATTTTGATAAACCTAGCTTTAGTTATTTCCTACTTATTTTTCAAATATTTCAAAATATCAAGTAGTCTGGGAGTTTAGTTGTCAAATTAACAAAACGAAACTAATTAAATTTAGTTTCATTATTTACCTAGGTGTTCTTTGATTATCATTATTTACCTAGGGTGAGAAATATTACTTCTCATTAGAGGACTGGAGTGAATAATTGTGATTTCTCATGTTAGTAGTAAAAAAAAATTAATATTTGGCATCTGTCTGTATTTGTAACGTGTAGTGGCACTTAGATCTCACTAGGCCCAGTGTGCATCCTCCTAAGTTAATAGACACCTCCTAGCTGGTGAGTCAGCCCACAGATTTATTGACGACGTCGCCAAGAGGTGCTTTTCTTATAACGGCCAGTGTTAGCCTATTCCCGCCGAACACAAATATTCTAATAAATAATAGCGTCAGGAAATCGTAGAGGATGAGCTCGATGCTGAAGATCTCATTTTCATGTTGGCGCCATCTACATAGTGCGGATTCTGACAGTCAAATGCAATGGAGATGCTTCCGTACTTTGCAATGACCAGTCAGAATGCCTGTGATTAGGCGCAGATTCTGTCTAATCATAATAAAGTATTTGTTTGCTGTTGTTTGTTAGGATACCTTTAAAGCTCCCTGGCAACTCTGTAGCTCCTTGTTTCATCCCATTTTACCTTGATTTTCGCAAGGAATTGTTATTTTATTAGGTTTGTCACTATAGATTATTCAGTCAGAAAGAAGGGCCAGGTTCAAATATTATTTAGTTGGCTGCCTTCTTAGCTCGTAAATTAGCATCTTTCTTAAGGTTGCCACATTGTTAATGGATACTTTGGTCAAAGCTTCGTGACATTCTAGTACTAACCCTGAGTAAATTAGTGGTCTGTCCAGGGTGAGTTGTGCTTGTCTGCTATCTGTGTAGGTGAGCATGTTCCTTTTAGTGGTACTTTTTTGGTAACTTCTTTGGCTACTGTAAGAATCTCCGTGAGCTCGGTTTGAACTTCATTGCATTTCTCATAGCCAGAGCCTTTCTACTATTTACCTTTTGATATAATGCAATGCCTGTTGAGATATTAGCCAAAGGAGTAGTTGTTTTCAATAGGGAAATGGTCGGTCGTTGTTCTGTGGCATGGACATTAGTTTTCCTCTTTTTCTTTGTTGTTCAAATAATTTAATAATCAGCGTTGTTATTCCATTTGATCAGTGAAATAATTGACTTCTTATGGGGATTTTACACAATTTTGTGAAAATAATTAAAAACTTGTTTATTGCTAAATAAGGCACATAAAATACTGCTGTATTTAATTTTAAATAAATCAGACTTATTTTAATTGATACATTATTTACTATTCAGTATTTAATTGTATCTAAATAGAATACAAAATACCGATGATAAATATGGAAACCTCGAAATTTGGTAAATAATTACCATAATGTAAATTATTTTCAAGATATACCTAAACAGGACAAACTAAAATACAGTTTATCTTAAAATATTTTTTATTTTTGTTATAGACTAGTGCATAGATAAATTATAATTTGATCAGCTATAAATGTAAACAAATACATTATTTTACCCAAATTAAGAGTTCTTAAAAGGTTTAAAAAGGCTTGGAATAATTTTGCAAAGATTTTTCTTCAGTTCTTCAGTGAAACCTATTATATGTTTTTTGCTACTTATGTTGAATACTTTTTTTACAATTTTTGGTATTTAAAACTTGACATTTCCGATTTTACCCTTCATAATCAATACTTTTATACTTTTAATAATACAGTTTTGCTTTTTTTGGGTACTTTATATACTTATTTAAAATGTGTATACACCACTGCTTTTATGTAATTGGGCGTTTCCAGTCAAAAGGTTGATTACAATATATTATAATAAATATTTTTTTAATATGTTACATGTTTGGCGTACAAACTAATTATATTCAGTTTCTGCCATGTTTCATGTTTATTCGTTACCATTGTGTGTTCTAATAGTTTTGATTTTTTTAAATATTTTAATAAACATTATTTTTATTATTATTAGCAACGAAAGAATATCCATCTTTTCAAATATGGTAACGTTATTCAAAGAAATAAATCAATTTCACATAAACAATATTTATTGGTTAAAAGTGACTAGTTTCGGCTTTAAAGCCATCATCAGGCAGATATATAAATCATAAAACCATATAAATTGAATATATTAATGAGTAATTTGAAAAAGTTACTTCACTCAGTGTGGTAAATTTTAAAAATTAGAGATTACAAATTACATTATTTAAAGTGACATTTTAGTGTGTGGGTTGTACCCCACAAATATGTGTGAATAAAGGAAAGACGAATCCTAAATGTAACACTAGATTACTGAAAGCTAGGTGAGGTGATATTAAATAGAGGTAAGGGAGCTTCTGGGCTTGGAGATTAACCGTCTGATAATGATAATGCACCACCTATTAATCTTTTTACCACTAAATATTATCACATCACACTACAATGCCATTTATATATAAATTTAAATAATTTTTTCACGTAATTTTGTAATTTCTAATTTTAAACAATTTTTCTTTCCACACTAGATGGAGTACCTTTCTTAAATAGCTAATCATCATCGTTATATACAATTTGTATGGTTCCGTGATTTATATTACTGCCTGATGATGGATTTAAAGCCGAAACTAGTCACTTTTAACCAATAAATATTGTTAATGTGGTATTGATTTTAAGTTTCTTTATTTCTTTAATAATTATTAATATTAAGACTTGCCTGTTATGTTTTAAGAACGAAGTCTAAAGAACAGATAAATATGGACTCAATGACAAAATAGCGCAGGACAAAATGGCGCAGTACTAAATAGCGTAGACAAAATAGAGCAAGGACAAAGTAGCGCAAGAACATACCGTAAGACAAAATAGCGCAGGATATAAAAGCGCATGTCAAAATATTCCAGTATTCTAATAAAAATTAAAAAAAAAAACTAATTTACCTAACCTGAGCGGCCTGAAGCCATCGCATGTTGCTTTGAAAAAATAAAAAAAAATCGTAACTAATTTACCTAATCTGTGCGGCCTGGAGTAATATACAGTAACCCGCTATGGCTCCATGCCGCACACGTTAGGTAAATTAGTTTAAGTTTTTTTTTTTATTTTAATTAGAATACTGGCACATTTTGTCACGCGTTAATTTGTTTTACTCTTTTTTAAAAAAGCTTAACTCATAATAATTGGTCTCACTTGATTTATATTAGACGCTAACGTGTCTGTCATGTATTTGTCTCGGTACAAATTTGTCGAAGAAAATTTGTACCGCACGAAATTGTTTCGCACTAAAATGGATCGATTCCTAAAATGTGAGAGAAACTTAGCTACATTTCACACAGTATTTGTTACGCATTATTTTAATGAATTTCATTAATTAAAAAACCTATCTTGTTCGTTACGCGCTATTTTGTCTTTGCGTCATTTTGTCCATGCGCCATTTTGTCCTGCGCTATTTTGTCCTGCGCTATTTTGTCCTGCGCTATTTTGTCACGAAGCCATAAATATGGCGAGCCGCACTTGAACCAAGCCAGTTCTCTTTGAAGTCGAGCTAAAAGCCGACATAAAATGGATAGCAATGTGTCTCCGTTGAGCCTCCCAAGATATACGCTGACGAACTGGACTTATTGGTGGCTCGATGCTAGCTCATGTTGGCTCAGCACAGGCGTGGCTCGACCATTTTTGTGCACCTTGACGATTGTAGAAATACTCTCGTAGATAAATTAATGAGAGAAGACATAAAATTTTAATATATATGTTTAAAATATTTTTTCAATAATTATTATTTATAATTATTATTATTATGAAATAGTAAACACTTGTCTTTAATTATTTACTTAATATCTATCAAAAATATTATTAAATTTAGATAATTGGTTATCTACTAATCTTAAAGTATTAATTCATAGTTTTTTTTACAAACATCTATATATAAATATAGCTATATTTGAAAATGCAATGAAATTGATTAATACTCTTAAAGTACTATAATAATGTACAAACTGTATATCTACCTAGTTGCAATATTTCTAATAAATATTGTTAACGTATATGCTGCAGAAGAAAAAGATTGGTGGCAAACTGCAACTATTTATCAAATATACCCAAAATCTTTCAAGGACAGCGACGGTGATGGTATAGGAGATTTGAAGGGCATCATCGAAAAACTAGACTACATCAAAGACTTGGGGGTATCGGCCATATGGCTATCTCCAATTTACAAATCACCCCAGTACGATGCAGGATACGATATCAGTGATTTTAGAGATATTGATCCGATTTACGGAAACTTAGAAATATTTAAGGAACTCGTCACTGAAGCACATAACAGAGGTTTGAAAGTTGTTTTAGATTATGTACCAAACCATACCAGCGATCAACATGAATGGTTTCAAGAAGCTTTAAAAGGCAGTGAAACATATAAAGACTACTTTATTTGGGCTGATGGAAAAAATGGTTCTAAGAATGATCCTCCAAATAACTGGGTAAGGAATCTCATTTAAATAAAAAAAAATGTGCATATTTCTTTTCATTTAACAAACGACTAACAGTATTGATAATAAGAACGAAATATATTAAAACATTCGTATGTATATTTCTGAGCATTCAAAACATTTTTTTATTTATTCTTCATCGATGTCTCCTTTTTTCTCACTTTTTTTTCAGAAATATTTATTTGACTCCTATCCTTTTTCATCTTTTACAGGTAACCTAATCACAATAAAATGTGAGTTTGATTTAATTAATTTAATCATAGTTACTTAATATACTTACATTATTTCTTCGTTTCCAATTATATCTCTAAACGTGGTAAAATAATTTATTCTATTTCATTCTTCTATTTTTTTTTATCTCTGTAGATTAGATTATATCCAAAAAAGGTTGGACATTATACTTGTCTACCACGACCTTTTGCATTTGCGTTTTTCATTAGACTTAGTAACTTTGAGAGTGGTAACATGTACTGTACCTAATTACATGCTTCTGGCATTCCCTCATCTAGTATAAGAAACTTTAATCTTTTTGGGGGGAGAGAAATACAATTAACGCACCCCTGCATGACACAGGAAGTGTGGGACTCGCCCCTTTACAATACCCACTAAAACTCCCCAGGTTTCAAAATCCGGGACTAAAATCCCATTTCTTTTATCTTCGGAGAATTTGAGCCGCTCTTGTTTATCTTGACGTGCCTCTCATTTACTGGTACTCCCTTTCCTCGTCTTCCTTTTATTTTTATCCTTCAACCTATTTAGTTAGAAATAGTGTCCAATTTACTCTGGCTTTCAGCCATTTAATTTTAATTTTAATATTACCACCTGTTCCCATGTCTCGTTTCTAGCAGTATTATATGGGATACACTCGAATGCCTTCTGCCTGCAGTAGATGCATATGTCTGATTTCTCAATTTTGTTTGTGTAATTTCTGTATGATCGATGTCGACTTTCTGTTCCGATTGAGAAAGTAGTATCCTCCCTTTTCATAGGGCCTTTGAAGACGACGGCTTCCGTCTTTTGATATGCCAGTGTGAGGTGGTTCTTTGTTCATCCAGTTGCTTATTAGTGTCAGTAATGCATTTGATTTTCCCATAAGTCCCTTGTTTGAATCTGATCGCTCGACGAGTGTGAGATCGTCTCCGTAAGCCAACTGTTTCGAAGTCATGTAGAAGATGTAAGTTAAGTACTTCGTATTACATGGTGTTCCAGAGCAGTACCGACCCTTGGTGTACTCCTTAATTAATGGTTTTTATAAAGCCAGTCACAAGGATTTCTCTATCTGCAAAGAAGCTTCTTACAGTATTTACGAGCTATTGCGGAGTTTCCTGTTTATGCAATCTTTGGATAATTATCGACCATTTAGCGGTGTTGAAGGCCCATTTTTGTGTGTTTTTTTAAGGGCTTCTACCGCTTCAACTGTGTATCTTCCTTTTTCGGAATCCGTACTGGGTGTCCGTTAGTGTAATGTGGTCTTCCAGCTTATATTTTGCAAGGTATTCTAGTAGCTTCCTCAGGGTGTCCAGGATACAGATTGGTCTGTATTTGCTCTCTGAGGTGCTGCCCCTAAGACTAAGAGCAACTTTTAATTTTTTCCAGAGTTTCGGAAATATTGGAGTTCTGACTATATTGTTATACACTCCAAGGAATTCGTCCGGCACGAAGATTGCGCCGATCTTAATTGATTCCGCCATAATCTCATCCGATCCTGGTGGTTTATATTTCAATTATTTAGTGGTTGTCCTGAGCTCATCCAGAGTGAAGAATCCATGCGCCTTCGCTACATATCAATTTTCTACGTCCTTTTCCCAATCTGGAAAGAGCTCTTTTATGATTTCTCTTCGCTTCCTGTTAGGCAGATCGTACTGTTGGTCATTCTTTTTCAGGTATCTGGTAACTATTTGGAAGCCTTGGCCTCAAGTATCTTCCTCAGGGTCACGGCACAGTTTGCCCCTGCTTTCTCTCTTAGAGAAGTATATTCTTTTCTTGTCTGTTTGTAGTTGTTGTATGTCTCTTCTATTTCCTCTGGGTTAGTCGTCCTCTTTCCACGGAGTCTTGTAACTTTTCTCCTGAAAGCGTTGCACTTTGCACTGCTTTCTGCCACTGAATCGTTCCATCAGTAGGGAGTGTTTTGTTGAGTGTTGAAGGAGGCCACAGTTGTTACTCCATGTTTCAGAATTTCTGTAAGGTTTTCGTGTATGTCCAGGGTGTTGTGCTTTAAGAGCCCTATTCACCAGAGTTGTCTTACTAATAATTTTGCTATTTATAAAGTTTTTGTTTGCTGCTATTTCCGGTGATCTCGAAGCTAATAAACCTGCGAAGGCTCAAGGATTCCTCCAGTTTTTATTAATCTGAATGACCTCTCAGAAGCCAGGGTAATATCAATGTATGACGCGCTGCTTCCTCTCGCAAACATTGGTGTTATTTCATTGTTAAGAGCAATGAGGTTCATCGTAGTCATCCATGATTTGAGATAACTTCCCCTTCCGTCAATTTTGTTTGGGTTTCATTGTTGATTTGGTGTTGAAGTCCCCCATCCCCGTACCGTTGGGCTCGAGAATAGAGTGCTACTCAGTCACTTCACATCGGCAAGGTCTTACAGCTCCTAGGAGTAAAGCAACCTAAATCTAGCCAGGTCTTCACACTCGAACTGGACGTAGATTGACGTTTTCTCTTCTTTTTCACAGAACCTGCACATTGTTACTTCTGCTACTGAATTGATAACACTCATGTTCCTTGTTAGGTGACAGTGTCCGGCAAGAATACCACTGTTATCTTAAGTTTGGTCGTTTTTGATCTAGTAGGTCTTTCGTGAACCTGAACGATGGTTCCTTAATGAACTCTTTGCTCTAACTCAATCCTGTTCCATCATTCCTGAGCCTCATTTTGTAGCCATGGTTTCAAAGCATCCATTGTTTTATGGATGCTTTGCACAATACCTTACTCCACAGAAGGATTCGGAGCTTGTTATTGCCTTATCTGAGCATTTTTGGGCTAGCTCGGCCTTTTTATTGTCCTGATATCTTTCGTAGCCTGATACCAAAGCTAAAGTCACTTTATTTTGACTATTTGTTTCTATCAAGCCTTTTAGGTAGTCTTTGACCAGTCGTATTTTAATTTATAGTGAGATAATTGTCTTTAGTTTTAGTTATCAGAGTAGATGGCAATAGTTTTGCATGATAATTTCTTTATTATTTATCTTGCACAGTATTGTATGGCTATTAGTTTGGCCTAAAACACTGTTGCGTATTTTGCTAGATTCGACGAAATCGTTATTTTCGACTTGGGTTCAATGATTCCAGCACCATCCCCTTCCTTGGTTGTTGAACCTTCTGTAACGAGTTCAGCGTATATGGAAGATCCCTGTTTCCAGGATTCTCAGACTGGTGTTTGAATTTGAAAATGTTAGTAGGTACTTCTAGAATCTTTCCCATTTTTACTTGCTGGTATAGCCTTACATGGTCATCGCTATGTATTTGACTCATTGAGTATTATCTATGTATTAGCTTGTAAACGACGGACCTGGTTTTTTCCTTATAAGAAGATATACAGTGGCGTGAGGTGTGATGGGACTCTTTAAATCTTTTATTTCTTCTTCGTTGTATTCCATGGTTTCTGTATACTTTTATGTTGACTCTTCTTAATACTTATATTTTTAGATTATTTTAATAATTTGTAAAACTTAAATATTCTTCGATTTCTTCCACTATGTCGACATTCTCTTATCGTATACAGAAACAAAGATCTTTTTTTAAATACCTTCCTTTTCTTTCTTCTGATGTAGTGTTTATAATTATTAGTATCAATAACTCAATTTTCAGATAAGTGTATTTACACATTCTGCATGGGAATGGGTCGAAGAGAGAAAACAATTTTACTTGCACCAATTTCTTAAACAGCAACCAGATTTGGACTTTCTCAACCCCAACGTCAGACAAGAAATGAAGGTAAGAATTGTTTATTTGAAACATCTAAAAATCTAAGAGCAAAACTATTATATCATTAAGTGACATAGAAATACTGTAGATGCTCGATATATACATTTTCAATAAAAACAGATTCGTACCTACATGTCCTAAAAACTCCGATATAAACAAAGGTTAAAAGTAAAATTCGCCTCTCCATATATTTATTTTTAAGAGCCAATTTTAATTTTGTCTCAATATAGAGCTAGGTGTATCATCTATGACCAGTACACCATCGATGTAATCTAACCATTTCATTTTAGGTACTTCTCTATTTGTTGTTAATTTATTTTAGGACGTACTAACGTATTGGCTTGACACATATGATGTAGATGGAGTGAGAATAGACGCAGTACCTCATTTGGTGGAAGCGAAAAATCTTACTGATGAACCCAGAACATATGATCCTAATTCTTCTGAGATTGACTATAATTACTTAGATCACATTTTCACGAGAAATCAACCTGAAAGTTATGATGTTGTATACGAATGGAGAAGCCACATTGATTCAATTTCTGCCAAAAAAACATCTACAAAGTAAGATTTTTGACTTTCTATTATTTTTCTCTCCAAGCAATTATGTGATATCTATAAAGATAGGCAATATCTAAAATTTTGTTTGAAGTCTATGGTCATCGATTTGGAGGATTTAATTAAAAACTATTTGACTTAATTTACTTTTAGAGTTTGCTTTTCCGAAGCAGCTGTAGACATTGACTATGTAATACCGTATTACGGTAACGCGGATGGATCAAAATTAGGAGCCCATTTTTCCTTTAACTTCGTTTTATTGGGTCTAACTCCTGAATCAACAGCCGTAGATGTGAGCAATTTGATCGGAGCCTGGCTTGATAAGCTTCCTAGCATCTACACTTCAAATTGGGTTGTAAGTATGATAATAACAAATTCTAATAGAAAATTTTGACACGTTTGAATGATTTCCAGTTGGGAAACCATGATAACCATAGAATTGCTACCAAAGCAGGCAAAGAAAGGGTGGATGCTCTAAATATTTTAGCAGGCTTTTTGCCAGGAGTTCAAGTAACCTACAATGGTGAAGAAATAGGTAATTTTCTTAAGCGACGTAAAATTAAAAACAAAAAATCATTTAAATTTTTTTAAAATATGTTTAAGGTATGGAGGACGGTGAGGTAAAATGCGAACAAGGCGTGGACATGGCGAGTAACTGCACGTCCTATCCATATTTGAGCAGAGATTTTGAACGAACTCCTCTGCAGTGGGATAGCAGCGAGTTCGCTGGATTCAGCAACGGTACATCAACGTGGTTACCAGTCAGTGTTAAAAAAGCCGAATGTAATATTGCAGATCAACTGAAGGATCCTAAGAGCCATCTAAATATTTACAAAAAGTTGCAAGAAGTGAGAAAAGGGGACCTTGCAGATATTATTTCCGTTGAATATAGTACATTTGGAGATGACGAAATGGGTCTAGCAGTAGTTAGACAAAATTCTGCTAAAATATACGCACTAGTATTAAATCTTGGAAGTAATAGTTTGACGGTAAAAACGTGGGAAACCTTCGAAGTAATATTAACCAGTAAAGATTCTCAAAGGAATTGGGGGTAAGTTAACCTCTATTAAATACTTAAGATAGTACAAGAGTTCTATGTAACCTAAATAACTGACAGAATCCCAAACGAAATGTTTAATGCATTTTTTCTATTTTTATTTTAGTGAGATAATTAGTGGACCAATCACTCTTCAATCATATGAAGCACTACTCCTACTACAACAAAATGTTTAATCATAATTTTTTGTTTTGATGTATTTTTCTCATATCATTAGGCATTACATAATAAACAATAAATAATATGTGGTACAGATTTTGAGTTAACTATTTCATATTAATAATAAACAGAAACTATAGACTATAGTGAGATGCTATCATAATATGACGAGTTCTAGAATATATCATGCTTATCCTATATGATAGATAACTTGACTATCTCTACGTTGAGACCCGAAGAGTTCTAGCCTCTAGCACTTTTTCAATAATTTTAAGTATTAATAATTAACAGAAAGTATATGCTGGTACATTATAACAAGTTCTAGAATATTAGCGCTTCTTAATCCTAACTAGACTACCTCGGCATGAAATCCCGAAGAGTTCTAGCCACTTTTTGAAAAATTTTAAGTAATAATAATATACAGAAATTATAAACTCACATTATGACGAGTTCTAGAATAAAAAATGCTTTTAAATGACAACTTGACTCTCTCTCCACTTTATCAATAATTTTAAGTGTTAATAAAAAACATAAATTATAGACTATAGTCATATTATGACGAATTCTAGAACATATAATTCTCCTAAATAATAATTTAAATCTCTCTGTATTGAGACCCAAAGAGTTCTAGTCTCTAGCACTTTTTCAATAATTTTATGAATAAATAACAAACAGAAATTATAGACTATGGTGCTAGGTGTTTTCTTACCGGTAATATGGCAATGATCTTTTACTTTACCGTCGTCCTCCTGAAAGGCCTCATCGCAAATAGAGCATATACTCGATGTGCTAAAATTATCTATTTAATCATTAGACAGCTGGCCCATAGGAACAATATATGTTTTAAATACGTAATATACATAGAACATCGTCCTAGGCGTTTCACGAAATCGCTTCCAGCATTATCACCAATAAAAGTTACAAATTTCGTCAATGAATTATCAAATGAACATTTAATCAAATATCTAAAAGAATATGGATCATGTTGGTATGTAGGGATAATAATTTTTTTTCCGGATCTGGTTCGCAAATATCTATAGTTTTTAAGATTGATTCAAAATCGGCATTAATTACAATTTGAACCCTCAGCTGCTTATCATAATTTTGAAACGAGTATATTTTTAGGTACATAATTGCCGCGTTTGTCTTTTTTCATCTCCACTGATGGTGTGCTGCTATATATAGGGTGTACCAATAAAAACTCCCAGGCCGGATATTTTGGTAAGTAATAGAGATATTTTAATTCTGTAAAAACCAGTTCACAGAGCACTAAAAGAGCTTTAGTTTTAGATACAAATTAATTTTAAATAGGTCAATATCTAGATGGCGCTACGCTCAATAATTTTTTTTCGATGGAAGGAACTTTCTTGTGTAGCGCATCTTGTAAAAAATGCATTTTTAAGCAGATTTTGTTCTATAAACTAATCGGATAAATCTAGCCATTTTTGATACACAGAGTGGGTCATTCAAAACAGTTTCATCCTATTTTTCAGCATAAATCATTGGATTTTAAGAACAATTTTACAATACAGACATCTGCCATGTGTCAACCCTCTCCCTTGCACTTCTCCAACACCTTAATTTTAAATAGTTAATATACCATGTATAATTAGTTTTAAATATAGTGGTGCCCAACTTCTTTTTCAAGGTAATAACCTGACCCACTCCCAAAATCAATTGAACCTTAAAACACTATAACAAATAGATAAAATAACAAGTATCACGTTACAAGTGTCACACTTTATAATACGCTCTAGGTTTTTTAATCCCGATAGAGGGCGCTAAAATTAAAAGTATCGCAATAAACAGTCATATTTCTGAGTTCCCCGTAAAATTACCTTTTCAATGATGTGCCGTAGATGGTAAATTCCTTATTTAAAATTAAGGGATTGGAGAAGTGGAAGGGAGGGGTTGACACATAACAGATGTCTGTATTGTCAAAATGCGTTCAATTTGGAATAAAAATCGACCTGTTTTAGCATTTTCTTAAAATCCAATGATTAATACCGAAAAACAGGATGAAACTGTTTTATCGAATTAATTTATAGAACAAAATCTGCTTAAAAATGCATTTACAAGATGCGCTATATAAGAAAGATCCTCCCATCTACAAAAAAAATAGTGCGCAGCGCCATCTACATATTGGCCTATTTAAAGTAATTTATATCTAAAACTGAAGCTCTCTTAGCGCTTTATGTACTGGTTCTTACAGAATTAAAATATCTCTATTACTTACCAAAATATCCGGCTTGGAAGTTTTTATTGGTACACCCTGTATACAATTACAGTCACTCAATTGATGCCGCAATAGAACGCTTTCAGATCGAAAATAAAATAAACATCCATCACCAAAAAAAAAATTAAGACCATTTCTAGTTATTTGACACGACACTAATCTGGCGATACTTTTAATCCAACAATAGTGACTATTACCCGAATCTTCCGCGGGAATATCGTAACAGGCCTACTATTTCAAATTTTCACCTTACCGGTTTCATAACTACCTTCCAAACCATAAACATTAACACTTATATCATTTAAGTCTTCAAATTTTAAAATGTCTAAACTTCATAGTGTTAGCAAAAAGAGATTACACTCAATCGAAGACATAATTATATTTTTAATTGAATACACTAAAAAAAATTATTAAACAGTAAGGCACGAAAATGATAAACAAAAATACAGGCAGCCATTTTACACGAGCGCACGTATGTGAATACCCATTCCTTACGAACGACCGCAGGCGGCCTCAGGATACAGCGTTGTCAGAGTTGCTTTAAATAATTTCTAACACGGCCAATCCTAACCAAAACATCGCTCTCGATGTTTTACTAAATGTCTTCATCTCGGTCTTCATATTCCTCTAGATTTTGTGGTTCTTCTTGCTCCCATTCATTGCTAAAAGTAAGATTATCATAATTTTATATTTATTTACAGAATTAAAAAAAATGAACAAATAATATTTGCGTACAAATCGACTCATTTATTTTTAATCTGGGTCACAACTAATTTCTAATAGCGCAGTGCGTTATTAGAATCGAGCTCTTAATGCAGAATCAGATTCAAGCAGATCTTAAAAATATCATTGCTGCATTAACAAAGCATACTAGGTGATATAATTTCTCAATGTTTAGCTAAATATACAAATATTCAACATTTTAACATTCAACCATTTAAAATGCAAAGCGTAACAAGCTTTTAAACAATAACTAATAATAATGCAAAGCGTAACAAGCTTTTAGAAACATTAACTAATCCTAATGCAAAGCGTAACAAGCTTTTATAAACATTAACTAATCATAATTCAAAGCGTAACAAGCTTTCAAACATTAACTAATCATAATGCAAAGCGTAACAAGCTTTTATAAACATTAACTAATCATAATGCAAAGCGTAACCAGCTTTCAAACATTAACTAATCACAATGCAAAGCGTAACAAGCTTTTAGAAACATTAACTAATCATAATGCAAAGCGTAACAAGCTTTTAGAAACATTAACTAATCATAATGCAAAGCGTAACCAGCTTTCAAACATTAACTAATCATAATGCAAAGCGTAACAAGCTTTTAGAAACATTAACTTATCATAATGCAAAGCGTAACAAGCTTTTATAAACATTAACTAATCATAATGCAAAGCGTAACCAGCTTTCAAACATTCAGCATAAAAGTTATTTAACATTAAAAGATTACATTTATTCTAACACGAGCCACTTATTATATGCCTTACCTTATTTCACTTTCCATTAAGTCTCTCATATTCTGTCATATTCATTGAAAATGACCAGTCACTCGGCCACATCATTAACTGCTCCTTAGCAGCTTTAGTAATTAAGGACTTTCCTACTCTTCCGATTTCAAAGCGACCCTCTGGTGTTATATTCATGATTTCATATGGCCCTTGGAATTCGTATTTTAATTTACCCTGGTGCATGTAGTCATCCCAGTGCATAAGAACAAAATCACCCACTTTGTAGTGAACAGTGTTGAGACGTTTTTGATTGGCTCTAAGACGAGTTTGAACAGATGCCTCAAGGTTTTCTCTGACTCTGAGTGGTGTTGCTCCATCTATTTTAATTAAAACGTTTAGTGGAGTGATACCACTTGTTTTCTGTAGTGTTGTGTTCAATACAAGTTGAATTTCCCATAAATTGCTCGACCATTCTGACCGGTACTTTTGTTTCTACTCGAATTAAATTCATAATTATTCTTATATATCTTTCTACCTGTCCGTTAGATTTATGTATATCAAGAGTTGTGTAATGATATTCTATACCCAAAGAATCCAAGTAATGGGGAAAACTTAAAAATTCTTAAAGTTTTTACTGGCATCCATTATGATTTTCCCAGGAGTTCCGAATAGTAATATGAGTGATTGAAATGCCAACCTCGTTTCATCGGTTTTAACAATTTTCAAGGTTTTAAGGACACAATACTTTGTGAATGCATCGATTAGTACAAGTACATGTTTATATCCATCACTTGCTGTTTCTAATGGTCCCAGACAAACGCCATGTAGAACCTTCATGGGTTGGGTTGGTTTCTCCATATTGTTTATAAATCCTTGTAACGGTCCTGAACAAGTTTTCTTTATGGCACAAACAAGACCATATTTAATGTATTTTTTTTTACAAATTGGCATATGCGTGGTAACCAAAAGTTCCTTTGGATTGTTTCAAGTGTCTTATCGGTTCCTGTATGACATTGTTCATCATGGAATATTCTAAGCACTCCTAGTCGGCTCTGGCGAGGCACAAACGATTTGCACTCATTTTATTTTCAGTTTTGACCATGTAATGTAAGATATAATTTTTTACGGTATAGCGGGACTTATCCAGACGTCCTTCTTTCCTGTCATCTATAAGTTGTCTAACCTCAGCATTTCCTCCTTGTTCAATATAAAGCCAAGTGTTTTTTTATTTTTATTTATTTATTTGTATCCAAACAGGCCAACGGCCTTATTACATGGATAAAAGTATCATAATACATAAATAATAATAATATTAATAATAAACAGTAGGTAATTACAACTAATATTACAACTTATTCAGTAAAGCAATAATTAATCAAGAGTAATGTAATAATTAAATACAAGTTTTCGGAACATATTAAATGGTAGTGTCCAATCTACATCAATACAAGTGTTGTTATTATTATTTGCCAATCGGAGCATGGTCACAAGAGGTGGCCTGGCAGTGGTAAGTATGGCGCTTATGTAATAATAACAATAAAAACATGAAATGCCTTTATAATAAAGTACTAATATTAACGTTTTATTCAGTAGTTACAAGCTCCTAACATTAAAGGTACCTAATACTGTTAATCATCAAATTAAAACAAATCAGAAACAAAATTTATAATATAAAGACCAATTATTAATTATATTTGTAAACGTGGCAGCATCGCATCAGCTGAGTGGCAGAGATCGATGATATTTTTTCTTAAAATAGCCCCTAGCAAAATAAAAACTAAAAAAGCACGTACGTTGGATAAAAAAAAAACATAAATAATGCCTGTGTAGGAACGGGAATTATAAAAACAAATCAACAAATCAACTCAAGATGTAATTTGATATCCTTTTTGAATCTAATAGGTACTAAAAATCATAATTACTGAACTAAATTGAAATAAGCTTTATTTTTTTTTATAACATGTGAAAGAGCCCTTTTAATAAAATAAACTTAAATAATAATTAAATCTTTATTAAAATAAGAGTAATTTACAAATAGACCAAAAAACTACTAAAAATCTCACAATAGAATTCCGATTCCCGGCATGGAAAATGAAAAATATGCGAGTTAAGCAACACCTGCTAGAAATGACTAAATTCCTTATCTTAATTACTTTAGCAGAAAAATAAACAAAAGCGTCTTTTAAAATTCTCTTTTACATGGATTTAGGAACTTTAAAAAAATATTGAAAGTAAAGTAAGTATTAAATCGGCTGGCACTTCTGCATTAGTTTATTACACCAAGTACCTACTACTAGTATAAACACTAAATAACATTTTGCGATCATTTTACTTACTCAGTGAACAATGGGTACTTATCCCACTTCTGATGTTAGCAAAAAGAGATTACACTCAATCGAAGACATAATTATATTTTTAATTGAATACACTAAAAAAAATTATTAAACAGTAAGGCACGAAAATGATAAACAAAAATACAGGCAGCCATTATACCCATTCCTTACGAACGACCGCAGGCGGCCTCAGGATACAGCGTTGTCAGAGTTGCTTTAAATAATTTCTAACAATAGGAAATTTAATACCCTCAACATTTGCACGCTCTCGAAGTGTGGATACGACGACGTTTGGCTAACATGCTCTCTCGCTGGATATAGTGCCGATGTGATAGCCTAAGCAAAGCAGTACGCATCATTATTTTGCAGATTAACTACGCCTAATGGAGAGTACTTATTTATATTTACTTCTAAAAATAGTACAGTAATGACCAGCTTGAAACAACGAATAATTTATTAGTTAACGCTGTATTATGAATTATAAAGCTACTATACCTGATTCCTTACGTTGACAGTCTCCAGTTTGAGATACCATAGATAGTATTCGACTTATGCTATTAAAAGATTTGATTTCAGAAATATCTTGACTCTGCAACAAATATGTAGCGAAGATATCTACATTAACTTTAATTGGCACTAAGAACAACTTTACTAAATACTCTAAATTTTATTTCATCGAAAAATGTTATATAATCTATATGTTTTTCACCACTTTTGACTCTGTACACGACGATTCTGCACTTAAATGCACTCTGAATTAAATGTATACCATAGACCTGAATTGTGCAGGCTTTTTCTTTATGGCCAAGACTTCTCATATGAGATGACATCTGATTGGTAGGGATGCCTAAATCACATGAGTCATATCTCCCATTATGCGCTTTTTTTACAGGTAGATCAGGGCTGGAAGCAGCGGATCTTTTCGTACCTCGTGATGATTCACCGGTGCGATTAGATATCAGCTTACAACTTTTATTTTGATGTTGATGTAAATTATCTATCATTGTAAATGTTAAACGACAATTACACGTATACATATTTTTATGATTATTTTGATATTAGATAATAGAATTTCCAACGCGCTTATAGCTCACGATTTTTGTACTGATTTCATTTGGATATGGGCACTACCCCAGATAGCACACGATGTCCATTGGACGTCCATATTTTGTCCAAATAATGTCCTGGATGTCCATGAACTTCATATGGATATTCATTGGACATCCGTTTTCCGTTATCCAATGGATATACCCATTCAGAAGTCCAATGGATGTCCAAAATATGTCCATGATGGACAATATAAAAATGACTAACTTATAATAAATTATTATAATTCTTCTTGTATAATTTAATTATTTACTACTAGGTTTTAATTAAAATAAATCAAATAATTTTCCTCTCCACTCGCCTTTGTTGACAAGATAGAAAAGTAAAAGGCCACTCAGGCCAGACTCGAAGAAGAAAAGAAGAAAGAGGTTAAGAAGAAAACACAGCACATGGATGTTTATCTGGTAAGAAAATAAGTATAATTATTAATTAAATCATTTAAAAATCTAAAAATTAAAAAGGAAATCGTTTGTTTTAAACTAATAAAACCTATCAATTATGTTTTAAACTTTATGTTTTCGATTTACATTCAAACAATCTTTTAGACATTTTGTCAAATGATGTACCTACCTATTTAAGAAAATGGCTTTACTAAAAGCTAACTAATATGCTGCAAATTCGAGATGATGTCAACACAATTATTATTGTAACTAAGAGGTGAGAAAACTTTCAAAGCAGAAGAAAAGTTTCTATTTGTACTGCATGAGACGTTAGCAGAAGTAGAAGGCTACTAGAAGATACAAATATGTTTAAAGAAGCTGTAAGTTTTACTTTTATTAAATAAAATAGAATCGTTTTGTAACGTTTAAGAAATAATGCATTGAAAGATGTTTCATAAGTTATTTCTCTTTTATGTTTACAAATACATATTTTTATTGCAATTTTAGATTCAGCAGTTACCAAAACCAGGGACAAGGACATGACAAATATATAAAAAGATGGTTCGTTTCCATAATTTCTAATACCCTCACGAAAGAATTCACATAATATGATGGCATAAAAGTAAAATGGTAATTTAAAGAAACAATGAGCAGTTTTTTGTTTATATGTAAGTATAGGGGTAAAGTATATTAGTCAATGCATATTTTCATATTAGCTAATAATATTTTATCTAAAAATTTTACATTTTTAACTATCACTTTTGCCTGATCAGGCGTTTATTAAACGATTGATTTAAAACTCAATATTCGTATAAAATGTAATTTTTTTTTTAGCTGCTGCTGAGAGTGACAATGGTGCTGCTTAAAAAGTAAGCGAAATAGCATTAAGAAAATGGCTGAGAAGGTCAACAGAAAGGAGTGCGTATAAAACTAATACATGCTTGATATTATTTATGACAATAAAAATAAGTCTATAGTTGCAATTATTTTATTTCATATTAATATAGGTGGTGATGTCCGTCAGATGTCCATAAATTGTCCAAAAGCAATACAAAAAGAGTCCATATATGGACCTTTCATGGAGTCCAAATGGACGTCCATGAGTGGGACATTTGTATAGTCCAGTGGATGTCCATTGGATGTCCTTTGGTAAAATGCTGGACGTCCTTTGGACAGCCGATATGTCCATGAATGGACTTCCGATGGACATCCAATGGATTGATTTGTGCTGTCTGGGACTATATATCCCATCTAAAATCCCTACCTCTCCTATTCTCCCCTCCCCTATTCATAATATACAAGCCTGAGAGGCACTTGGTAATTGTGTGAAGAATGGGGTACTATCCATTTCACCGATGTTTACGTCATGCATGTCTGCTGGAGACTAGCGCTTCACTCTAGCTATGACGGCATGCCCCGGCGTATTTTCCCTATGCTACAATAGTAACCACTGAGATGTACTTGATCAAGAACCTCAATCTGAGCGGCCTCATTGAGCAATCTTGGCCCGTCCCTTTTCTTATTGCAAAAAGAACGGTTTCTTCAAATTTAGCTACTAACTCACGTGTGTACTTGTGTGCAACATTTCTTTCCGGATGCTTTTCGTTAAATATGGCCGCCGTTCTTGCAAAGCAACGATTTTAGTCTCCGTAAATAAAAATCATTTCTGCGCGATCAACAATAGTGTAAACCATTTTAAAAAGAGGTTACAATTTGAGAAACGACAATTGAAAACTATTGAAATTGTTTATGTATGATGTAAATAACTTTCACTAATCGAAGAAGCACAGCAAATAAATAAAATGAACACCACGAGTCATCAAATAAAGAACTCTACTTTAACTTATCACTTGTAAATAATATCATTACTAAGCAAAACGAGAATATTGTTTGTTCGAAGACGCACAAAAAAGTTAAATCGTTTCATGTTTTGTAGTGCCGAAATGTAAATAAATAAAATAATTTGGAATGTAATATTTGTCGGAACAATAATTTTTAAATGAAGTTTTGTGAGGCGGTGAATGCAACCCGTTTTAAGAAGTTGCATTATTTAAATTTAGATATTATATTAATTTGACACATTTGTGAGGTTAGGTACTTCAATTTTGACAAAAAAAATATTAATGCAATTTATCTAAAATTATATAAGGCACAAAATTGGTAAAAGAAATAAAGGTTGCCATTTAAAATTTTAGGGGTAGGTGCCCTGGGGACCAAGGGGTTGAAAGTAATACGACAACAAATGCCTCAACAACTGTCTTCCTTGTTATGTAAATAGATGTGTTTCGCCAAATTTTCATATTATCATTGGTAGAGGCAATATTAAATGCTGTTCGTTTTCAAATTGACACCATGCGTAGGTATATAAACAACAGAAATGTCCAAATAATAAGACAAAAACAAATATATAAAGCAAGTATACTTAGGTCGGAGATAATGACTAAATAATTATTACAAAATCACTGTGAACTCTCAAATCAACAAACAAGCAAGCAACAACCAGTCATAGGCAACCAATGACGCATATATGTTATTTCCGCTGGATTTATCCTATGAGGTCACTTGAAAGCCATTGTATTCAAAACCCAGCCAGACTCAATTGAACAACTGAAACAAAGAATTGTACAATAATGTAGAGAGCTATTTCACCCGAGGACTCTTCAACACGTCCGAGAACAGTTTGAATATCCGATGTACTTGTTCTTACAATACAATGAAAAACATAAAGTAGTAAAGGTAAGCTTTTGCGTATATCATTATCATACTTTTTTAAGAAGTTGCATTATTTAAATTTAGATATTACATTCCACACATTTGTGAGGTTAGGTACTTCAATTTTAACAAAAAAAAAATATCTAGAATTACATAAAGAACAGAAAAATGGTTAAAGAAATAGGTGTTACAATTTAAAATTTTAGGGTAAGGTATCCTGCGGGTTAAGGGGTTAAAAGTAATACTACAACAAATGCCTCAACAATTGTCCTTTGATATGTAAACTGACGTGTTTCGCCAAATTTCATACTATCATTGGTAGAGGCAATATTAACTGCTGTAATTAGGTGCCGAAACTAACGTGCAGCCTCTACAGTTTAACACATATTTTTCAGCCTCATTATCTATTTTTGGCCACCAAACTTTAGTGCGAAGACGTTTTTTTATTGCAACAACCCCTGGGTGGCCTTCATGAGCTAGTTGTAGTACTCTCTGCCTAAGTTTTTCAGGGATTACTATTTTATCCCCTCTTAGTAAAATGTTAGAGTAAAAACATAATTCTGTTTCAAAAATTTTATACCTCTCGGTACCTTCAACCCACTTTTCCCCATTTAAGGCATTTTTTACTAACTGAATTTCTTTATCAGCTTTGGAATATTTGTTTATCTCTTCTAATGTAATGGCAGTAGGCTTCATGTATTCCATGAGCTGGCGGATAAATTCTTTTTCAAATGGTTGTTCTACTACATACGAACATAGCCTAGACAGAGGATCTGCTATATTTGTTTTCCCAGGGCGATACACAACTTTAAATTTAAAAGATTGTAATCTTAACATCCACCTTTCAATGCGAGCACACGGTTTTGATTTGGGGTTGAATATTGCCTCAAGAGGTTTGTGGTCCGTTATTAACTCAAATTCTTTGCCAAATAAGTAAATGTTGAAATGTTCGACTGCCCATACTAAAGCAAGAGCCTCTTTTTCTGTTTGGCAGTACCTTTTTTCGCAATCTGTCAAGCTTTTATTTCCGTAACCTATGACACGGAAGCCTTTGTTATCGAACTGTATGAGTACCGCGCCTAAACCAACAGGACTTGCATCAGCAATAACTTGAGTTCTGTCTTTAGGGTCATAATATCCTAATACCGATTCGCTAGAAAGAGTTTCTTTTAACTTTGTAAACGCCTCCTGCTGATGCTGTTTCCAGAATCGTTCAATATTTGCATTTTTTTCCCACTTTTAACCTCAACAATTGTCTAATTGGATCTGTTAGAGTTGCTAAGTTATGAATCCACTTTCCTACAAAATTAACTAATCCCAAAAAACTTTATATTTCATCTACTGTTTTGGGCGGACAAAAGTTCTTAATTGCAGTGACGTGAGTATCCAGTGGCTTTATACCTTCTTGAGACAATACATGACCAAGGAATTTAACCGCTTTAATATTATAAGCACATTTTTTTTTCATTTAGTAGAACATTATATTTTTTTAAAGTATCAAGAGTTTGTTTAAGTCTAACGTTGTGTTGATCTAGATTTTCCCCAAAAATGATTATATCATCTATAAAGTTGATAGTACCCGAGCAACCTATTAATATATTTTCCATTATTTTTTGAAAGAGCTCTGGAGCACATGTAATGCCAAACATCAGCCTTTTATATCGGAAAAGTCCTTTCTTAGTAATAAAAGTAGTTATGAAGCGAGAATTTTCTGAAATTTCCACTTGATGGAATGCGTTTTTAATATCCAGACGGGAAAACAGGGTAGCTTTTCTTAATTGTGGAAGTAGCACATCCATTGTCGGCAATGGGTGATTCTCACG